CCAGAAAGCGGCTAATGTATCCATCCGGTGATCAGCAACAGCGGGATGGTCAGGAAACGTTTGATGGTATGAAATTAACCATTCGTCACCGTCCCACTGACTGCTCGCCCCGACAGACATACGAGCGTGATGCGCGTTCAATCTGGACCGAATCGACAGCACTTGTTCAGGGGAGGGTGCTAGGAGCCGTTCGAGATCCTGCGCCAGAGAGGAACGACCAGGTCCTCGCCTGAGTTCCGTCTGCTATAGAAGGAACATCGCGTCAAACTTGAAGAGGGTCGGCAGCCGCGCGGCCGCGATCCGGCGATAGGACGGGGGGGGGGCAATACAAACATTCTGCGAAACGAGGAATGTACCATCGCATGTACACAGTGCCTGCATTACACGACAAGACTTCGGATTTTGTGGGTTGTGCATCAGCCGGGTCCGTGACCTCTACGTTCCTGTCTGCCTCGGATTACGGCCATGTGTGACTTTTATGATGGCCAGAGTGGTGGTCGGGATCTTGCGCCAGGTCGATTGCTCACACAAACTGTGCGGTAGAAGAAGCATTCACCATTGCGTGCAAACGCACGTGCGATCGCAGACGACAGCGCGCTGGCGCGTGTCTTGATGGTGGTGGACTCTTTGTTGGTACATTGAAGCTTATTGTTTGATGTAAAGACGACAACACCTGCGCGGGGTTTTCCGTTTGTGCACACGCAATGTACGGACACAGTCTGCAGGACAAACGCGCACCGCGCGCACCGCGCGCACCGACACGTCACGAGTGTAACGGGGCACACCCTTGCGTAACTTAACGCAAGGGTTTTGAGTGCCCCGACAGACGTACACGTGGCAAGCGAGGAAGCGTAGGTAGGGTAAAAGTAGAACTGTTATATTAATAAATTAAGTCTTTAAACTACTGTCTCTTCGTTTGACTTAATTCAATTATACTAATATAACTGCATGTATGGGGACGTCTCGTCACCACTCATTGCGCGCGTCTTGCGGCGATTGGTGGGTTGATATCATCACGATATCAACCAATGAACAGATCCTTTGGTCGACCCTTCAATATCACCACTTTGGTGATATTGTTTAAAGAATATCCATCTTTATATTCTTTATTGTCACTTTCCTTAAAGTGACAATTTCATGTAACGGGCTGCCCCGTTACATCACCCCCTTAACTGATAGTCACCGTGTGACTATCGAAAACATGGAGGCCACCCGTTGGCCACCATTGGGACTGGGAGCACTTGTTGGGTCCGTTCCATTCACTTTCCGCTTGACCTCGCATAGTTAACATGTCTATGCGAGGTGACTCAAGACCCACACAGCCTGGTGCTGTGCTCTTGAGTCACCTCGCATAGACATGTTAGCTATGCGAGGTCAAGCGGAAAGTGAGTGGAACGGACCAAACAAGTACTCCCTGTCCCAATGGTGGCCAACCGGTGGCCTCCATATTTCGATAGTCACACGGTGACTATCAGTTAAGGGGGGGGGGGTGATGTAACGGGGCAGCCCGTTACATAATATTGTCACTTAAGGAAAGTGACAATAAAGAATATAAAGATGGATATTCTTTAAACAATATCACCGAAGCGGTGATATTGAAGGGTCGACCAGAAGAGTCTGTTCATTGGTTGATATCGTGATGATATCAACCCACCAATCGCCGCAAGACGCGCGCAATGAGTGGTGACGAGACGTCACCATACATGCAGTTATATTAGTATAATTGAATTAAGTCAAACGAAGAGACAGTAGTTTAAAGACTTAATTTATTAATATAACAGTTCTACTTTTACCCTACCTACGCTTCCTCGCTCGCCACGTGTACGTCCGTCGGGGCACCCAAATCCCTTGCGTTAAGTTACGCAAGGGTGTGCCCCGTTACATCATGAGTCTTGACGCTCGCGCCCCGCTTGGCAAGACAAACACATGCCTGAGCACAGATCGCAAGTCGAGGGTTGAGAAATGTCAAAAGATGTACGAACATGATTGCTTACACGAATGTAGGAGATACCGACTATTCCGAGCTCCATACCCTCTTTAAGCTTGAGCTAACGGTTGAGTGTGCGAATGAATGTCAGTGGAATGATGCTACAGCATTTCAGTAGACCTGATCGTTTTCAGCTACTGCCGTCCTTTATCTTCGCTGAAGAACGTATTCCATCGTCGTGTATGATTGGAATTCCCGGATTGCCATTATACTTTTCGACGAGCATATCTATGAGCTTTCGATAGAGATATGCTCCTACTGTTGTAGCGCTGCCATGCACATCGGCTTCCGATGTCTCCGCACCGCGTACGTTGCTCGCTTTCGACACGTGAACAGTAATGTTGAGTTTTGCATTTTGAACACACAACTTCGACATCTCTCTTAGCAGAGTCAAACGACTGTACACTTCGAATCAATCACACCGGCACTGCCAGCTGTAGTGTTGGTGTGACTGCTGTCCGACTAGACTGTTGGACACCTGTGATATTAGACCCTGTGTTTATGATTGAGATCTGAACCATACACTTGAACATCGGTCGCTCGGTACCTTCTCGGTATCATCCTAGTCAAATACGAAGTGGCATTTGATGCATTTTACGAGACTCTGACTGCCGTGAATGTAGGTGGGCCAACGTGGAGCGGACCCACTTTGGGTGGCTACCCCACAGGCGTCAAGTCCTACTACATGTTTGCATGTGCCGATCACCAGGTACGGCTATTCATCAGCACGATTGTTGTCGATCTCTTCGATGTTGTACCAGCTCAAACACAGTCAGCTGTGCTTCCGAAGCACCTGTCTCGTGTATGGGTGCACAAATGCGTCCTGTTGGTATTAGGTACCACAGTGTAGCTAATCGTCGACATCCAGCGACTGCGCTTATGATATACCGAAACTTACGCCGCTTACCGCTCACGATGGACTCATGGTAGTGTGGGAGAAAGGCTTGAGCCACAATAGCAACGTCGGTCTGATCGTGTCGTCATGCAGCATTTACGTGTGTAGATTGCTAGACTCGATTTCACATCGACGGCGAAATGTCCTACTCAAGCGTCATGGCCGCGTATCTTATGCCGGCGTCCGGTTGTAGATGGCAATGGCGTCATGAGTTTCTTGTCGCCAAAGACAGACGTATCTCATCGCAATAGAGGGAACTTCTATGCTCAAGCACCAACGTTTACTCACTAAGTGTCAAAGGGAACATCTGTGAGCTTTATTGCAGCTACCAAATTTGGTCTATGGATCGTGGGTGTAACTCTGGATGCACGATAAAATATCCAGTTTTGTCGACGATCGTATGATCACGTGCATCTCTTGTGGCACTGTCACTTGCCCGCACGCCGGTAATTCTTGCAATTTTCGATGATGGCACTTGCTATAAAGTGCGAGATCAGTCACTTGCGTGTACTCCATGATAATGCTGATCGCGTATCGTCCATTATCACATCAATTTGGTCGGGATCTAAGCCTTTACCGGCATCAAGCAAACTATAGGAAGCAATCAATGTAGATTTTGGATAGCGCTTGAGCCCCCTCCTTTTATGCCGACGTTGCAACAGTAATGTTTGGCAAGTCCGTTCACACTAAGTGCAGCAAGTCGAGAGCAGTCTAATTAGTGAATGCTGTAGAGCTTTTCCGTCCGTGTCAATGCATTATATACCCTTACTTCATTCATCAGGAAAACTGCGTTCTTTCGCAGGACATCATTCCGTTGTCGTATACCTTACAATCATGAACCACGGCGCCTCGATGGACATGTCTCGAAAAGATTGCAAACTTGCTGAGCCATTTGCAAGAAATATCAAGAAGGGCAAAGTTCTGTTGTGTCACGACACCCGCTGTCGTAAGCCTTTGCTGAGCGATCCGGTTAGACGATTTGAGTAGGATAGACGATTGATGTGGGAAATCGGGTACTTCGACCATCGATCCCCTGGATTTAAATTCATATATTCTGGCAAATCGTGTCTCCCGATTAGTCATAAAAGGATCATGACAAAGTGAATAAAATTGACCGCTGAAAAATGGTGAAACACTGTATTTCTACATATTTGTATTCACAGATAAACTATTGCTGTCGTTGGTGCTGCTCGTCTTTTTGAAGCCATCTTTGGCTTTGGTGGTCTGTGTCTGAGTAGACCTGATACCTCTGGCTGCACGATGAAACAAATGAGCATCCGAAGTAGAGTGACACGCTCAATATGCGATGCACTTCGGTCGCTGTGATAAACTCGCTTTTCTGCCGCGCGCGCACTTGCACAGGACCGGCAATGTCTACCTCTCAAGCTACAGTGACGTAGTCATCGATCACATGCTTGCGATATTCGAAACATGCGTATGCTCGAGATTAGCTTAGCATGGCTGCCAACATGAGTTGCCCTTCCTCCAGAGTAAGAAACATTTCCCAAAAAGCAGGGTAAACGCAAGCTGAGCATGTTGGAAATCGTGCAGCCCTAGTCATGAGCCGTCCCTCCTTCAACGCGTCGCCACGTCACTACCGGAAGTTACGTTTTGGAGAAGCTGAAGCGGTCAAACTATCCTTGTCAGGTAGTAAAGCTGCCGGGTATTCTTCCAGCTCGCCGACCGACACCCTCTACTTCAGATAATAGGTGCGACGGGCTTCCAACTCGCAGTTTTCGGCTGGTGTAAATATAGCTCCACGAGCCACGCGCCAATTGACTGAAGCTGCCCCAAATGTGTCAAAATGAAAAAAAGCAGAGCGCTAAAATACCGAGTTCAACGGGGGAAAGCGGTGAGAATGTATGAGAAAAAAAGACGGGGGGCAATTCGATTCGAGTTCCGAAAATAAACGGACGTCCTCGAATTTCGCACAGAGGTTTCTGACTGTTTCACCGGAATGGCGACTTCATCCACAGTCCCTTTCGACATGTACCACAATACTTTTCGACAATACCTCCACATACCTACCGACAGACACTCAGACATACATATAGACATACAGACATACATATAGTCAGACACTCAGACAGACAGACATTTAGACACGAAGAGTCTCTAATGGACTACAAAGCCGTCACTCGGGCCACCAAACTGCGGCACCTCCGTCTCGGTCGGCCATTTTCCAGCGCTGCGTCTCCCACTGCGCACAACTTCAGCTTCAGTGGCTGCGGGTTTTTAATCCCGTACCACTTGGGCGTGGCCCAGGAACTCCAACGTGCCGGTTACATCCAGTCCAGCTCAAAGTTTGCTGGAGCTTCTGGCGGTGCAATTGCGGCGCTGGCGTTGGCCGCCAACGTCAGTATGAGCGACATCCACGACGAGACGAAAGCGATGGCCCGACTCTGTCGCAGCCACGGCACGTTCTGGAAGCTGGAGGAGCGACTGCGGACCGTCTTCCACGCCAAGTTCGGAGATCTGCCGGTCGAGACGCTCACACACAGTCGACTTACAATTGCCACGAGGAAAATGTGGCCAGTGAGGGCCGCAGTGCTAACGGACGACTTCCACTCGACCGACGACCTCTGCGACGCGCTCATTGCGTCCTGCTATTTGCCTTGGTACGTGGCCCGACGCGGCATGACGGTGTTCCGAGGCGAGTACCACGTGGATGGAGGGCTGATCACGCTGGTGCCAGAGGTGCAGGACTACACGAAAGTGTGTGTGTTCCCTGGACGCACTTTGCGCCGCAGTGACTACGACATTAGTCCGTCCCTTGATCCGGACTTTCCCTTTTCCATCCTGCAGTTGCTGCGCTTTGCTCTGTTTCCGCCGCAAACGGATGTGTTGGACCAGTTGTTTGAGCTGGGGAAGACATCGGCGAGGATCTGGACGGAGGAGCAAGCGGCGCACGCAGAGGGACGTACCGATGGAACGTGAATCGACCGAAGAACGAAGTAGAGGGAAGTCGAGCTTGATCGTAGCAAGTTGAATCAAGACGGAGCTTCCAAACAAACGTGTTTGTCGTTTGCGTAGTGCTTCTTCGGTCCTCGACAGCTGTGTGTCATCGTCCGACAAGCTACTTGCAGCTCAAAGAGATAACGACGCGGACAAAGGAAACGACAAAGCGGAAGGTGACAGTAACGAGAAGAAAATGACGTCAAGGGCGCTTCCGACGTTCTGGTCTTCTTCGCAGGTAGTTCAGGTGCATTCAACAATCCACACGACACGAAGTAGAACATTGTGCAGTCTATGAACGACGTACTCCCTGAATGTGGAATCGAAGCTCCGAGCAGTCTCCGAAGCTCACATGGCGAGCCTCAAGTAATGCACACTCTTTGCCAATTGCGCTCAGGTTCGTGTCCGACATCGTGCTGACGGATGTTGTGGCGCTCAGTCGGAAAAGGAACTTCGTGTCCGTGATCGAGGGCTGCACCTTGCGGCAAGTGGTACGGATGAGGTCAAGACAAATGGGCAGCTGGGACAACAACTCATCACAAGCACCAACGCAGCAACATTGGGCGTGCTAGCAGCAATGCCTACACATGCCATGTACATAATGGCAGTGAGACCAGCGCTAAAGACCCCACTCTGTCCAGCTGTCAACACCGCTACAACGTCTACTTACCATGCACCGTTTTCTGATGTCCTTGAGGAGTCGTCGTAGCGCTCGATTGCATGCACTCCGTTGTTAAAATGCTTTACTGACTCGTAATGCATCAGAGGATCAGTAACTTCTGGCCATGGAGATACTATGACATGGTTCAGTATCGGATCGCGACGACGTTTATGTGGTGGCCGTTTCGTTGTAGTAACGTGGCGCAAGCCTGCGCCGTACGACTCACTGCAGTTTTAACAACTTCGACATTGTACACAGAGGTGCTGTCCGTGCTTGTGTCAACTATAGACCATCATTACTCGGTGCTTTTCACGTGCTCGTTGCATCAGTTGGGCCTTGAAAACGCTCAGGAAGGAAAGCGCTTGTACGTAAGCATACCCGGTTTAGCTAAGGTGTCGATGGTGAAGAACGCTGCCTCGCTCCTTCGTCGTCTGCTTTCAGTATGTCTGCTGGTTCCTCAATAGCTCACAGAATCTGTAGTTTACTATCTCACCTCTGTCACTAAACTCCTGCGGGACCTGGTATTCTCTCTCGTCGCCTACGAGACGCAAAGAGATTACGTTTGCCGCAGCATCACACCACTCGCTATGAGCTCACGCTTTCACCGCATCGCTCTGCTGCTCTACTCTCCATCCAAAGAACCGGGAGGTACATCACCAGCAAAAGTCTTCACTCGCGCACCCTGATCATCGCTGCTCTTCCGAACAAGGAGCTACTGACTTCCCGTTCTGCGAAGCACAACGCTCAACATTGCAACACGTAATAATTCAACAGCCACTAGTGCACGTCAATGCCGCAATAGATCTGTCGACAATGACGAGAGATCATGCAATCGGTTCATGCAAATCACACGGAACAACCAACTTGAGCTCTTCAGTCGTGTGCTACATTTGTCATCCGCGACAATCACTAATGATACACTGTCAGCAGCTCATCACTGCGCCTCTTGATGATCGTGGAACGGTAGTGTAGACGTTCTGTCCAATCGAATCGCTCGACACCGATCGTTTTAGCCAATCCGTGCTCACCATGACCGCCGGCGTGCCGCACGTGACGTTCCATAATTGACTGGTAGCCAAGACACGATGCGATATCTGCGTGCCAAGGGCATCCGCAAGGCGCTACGTCAATTCCACTTCCTATGCGGTCTCAAAGCGCCGTACAAAGTGCTGCTGGATGGCAACTTCATCGCCATGTGCACCCAAATGAAGGTCGACGTCCGCGACCGCGTGCCCAAATATCTGCAGGTGAAGCCACACGAGTGCGAGTTTTACGTGCCCCGCGCGGCGCTAGAAGAGCTGCGGCTGCTGAAAGAGGTCACGAGAGAAGCGTATGAACTGGCTCAGAGCTTCGAAGTCGCAGAGGTCAACGACCAAGCAAACGACGGGACGGAGGGACCTGTGGACGTATCGAAGGCCATTCAGAGTATCATTGGCGATCGAAACAACCACAAGTTTGTCGTGTGTACGCAGGAGGTCGAGCTTCGCAAGGCGCTGCGACTGGTGCCGGGTGTGCCGCTCATGTACTTGAACCGCTCGGTGTTAGTGTTCGAAGAGATCTCGCACGCTACGTTGGCGATCGTGCGCCAGGAGGAGAAGGCCAGTATGGCCAAGCTCGACGTGAACGAGAAGAGAAAGCTGGAAGCAATGCAGGAGGAAGAACGTAGTAGCAGTAGTGGTGCTGGTGCTGGTGATGACCACGCAGACAAACAGCGGCTACAGAAGAAGAGAGCCAAGGGGCCCAACCCACTGTCGATCAAGAAATCCGCTCATAAGAAGGTCCGCTCTAGGAAGAAAAAAAACTAACGTTTATGAGCCCGAGTTATGGTGGAATGGCTGTCGCTCAGCTGGTACAGTTGCCTTCGCATGTGTACAAGCTCATGTAGATCGTATCGTCTTCGTCTCGATTGCGACCTGGTCTTTTCTCTCGCTCGTGAGGCATCGATCCATGCAGCCGTGTCGGTCGAATTGTACATTCACGTAGACAAGCTGACTCACATATCCTTGGCATAGCTCCCTGCCAAGCTAGTCGGGTATGACGATACAATGAGAGAAACACGGGCTGTTGCGCTGACTCATCGACTGCATCGAACTTGCAGCAGCGAGGAAATGTATGGGCGTAGATCGCAGAGTTCAGACGGCATGCTGTAAAATTAAGAACTAACTGCTGTGGTGGAAGCGCGCGACGGCAAAAGCACTTGGACATGTCGCACGTATCGTAGCACATGCACGAATCGGCTGCCTTCCTGCAATCGCGACCGGGTACACGACGTCTGGATCACAACCACATCCATGACCGTTCATGCACAGGCACAGTTGGGAAACATGGTCACCCATGGTAGCCCGGATACCCTGGAGCTGCTCCGCGGGGAGGGCCCTGTGCCGAATAGCCCTGAGCCGGGTAGCCTTGCTGCTGGTATCCTTGCGCCGTGCCTTGCGCGGGGTTGCTTTGGTGCGTGTACGTTCCTTGTTGTTGATACTGCTGCTGGAGTTGTCCTTGAGAGTAGTAGCCTTGCTGAGAAGGGAGACTTTGTTGCTGCTGATATTCGTACGACGTTTCTTGCGACGTGTAGCCTTGCTGCAGAGAATAGCCGGCTTGTTGCTGGTATCCTTGGGGCTGCTGTACCTGGGCGGGATATCCTTGAGGTTGTGCTTGGTTGGGGTATCCTTGAGTCGCATTTTGTTCATGTGGGCCGCCTCGTGCAACATGATGCGTTGACATCAACGGTGCAGCTGAAGGCTGAGTAAACGATGGCGGTACACTCGAGTCACACGTAGAAGGCTCCGCGAACAAGCGGTATGTAGGTGGAAGCGCTGGGTTGGGCGCCACGCCACGCACTTTCATGTACTGGCACAACTGACGGGGAATCTCTGCTAGCGTCTCTCTTGACAATGCGTCCGGGTAGTCCACAAACCGGTTGTACGGCACGAACTGAACGCTGGAGCGCAAGGGAAGATCATTAACGTCAGTACTTGTCCCCTACTTCCAGGTGGACCTGGCAAAACGAATCGGAATGAGGAACTTACATATCACGTGTAGACACTCGACCATTGCTGGCACGCAGCTTCCCTCCATCTCCGTCGAGTGCGACCATGGAGGAAAAGTCGGCGGGACCTACTCCAATGATCACAATCTGAAAAAAGATAATGCTAGCATTAGCAGCACATGATGGTCTAGCTTTACGGTGAGTGCTTACCGAAAGCGGCGAAACGTGGGACGCCTCAACCAGCGCATCGATGGTCCTCTGCATGTCCATGATCTCACCATCTTGCACAACATAGTGGCCAGTTAGCTCAGGAATCACACATGTGTTTGGATGTTAAGTGTACCTGTGATAATCAGAAGAACAAAATACTTCTGCTTGCGTGGGTCACTCAGCTGATTCGCAATTCGCATGGACTGATTGATCAGTCTGCACAGGTAAAGCAAAGAGTAAGACACCATTTCGAGCCAAGCACGCAGTAATAACGCACGGAGCGAAAAACGTCGGGCCGTGGAGACGAATGTGCCCGAGAGACGACGTGTAGAGCTAGTCAAAAAGGCGGTAACAAGCAGCTTCCCCCGTAAGTAACGCAAACCACTGCGATCCTTGCTTGTGACCGTACCTGAAGGACCCCCTGAGAGCTTGCAACTTCCGGGTTCGATGGGTTCAGGTTTAGTGGAAAACAGTGATCCACATTATGTGCCCCGGGTGGTATTCCACCAAATCCGTACACTGGGAATTGCTTGTCGGCATCATACTCTTGCAGAATCGAGACCGTCGATGATATCGCATGTTGGTACTGGTTAGGCCCGCGAGGATCAATAAAGTGAAGGCTGCAAACATAGAACAGGATCCGCACACCACAGTCAATCTCGACGTTATCGATTCCGTGTAAAGTTGAGACCACAAAGATGCACTCGTTTCTTTACCTGCGAGGATCATTCGGTGGCCCATTTGACGCCGTGTAGTCGATGCCAATAATCAGACTCATCTCCAGTCCACCTCGGACTATGCATCAGCAAGCACATCACAAACGTCAGCATGCCGCTCGCAGTCATTTTTACGGCTATCACCATAGCAACAGCAGCGCAGATCGCTCACGGTAGTCGACAAAAGTATGATCCCGGAAGATTTCTACCTCCGTGGCCACAAGCTGCCCAGCGTTGGAGTATCTTTTGCCCTTTTTCTTCTGTAACGCCTCATTGTGCAAAATGAAGTTGACACCACGCTTGCCCTGGATCTCCTCTAGTGTCGTCTGCACTTGTCCAATCAGCTCTGATTTGCCGCCACGGTCCTCATCAAACACCTGCAGCCGCAATCGCCGCTTATGGTCACCATTGCACAGTTGCTGGAGCGGCAGCTCAATACGTTTCCATCTAGGGTTCAAGTTGTTGTCAATCGTCTCCGTTTTGTGCACTTGCATCCAAGACCCGTCGTCTTCTCGGAGACGACTGATCACCAGAAACGGATCACTCTTGCCGAAGAATCCGTCCATGTTAGCAAGACCTGACGCGCAAAAGCAGAGCCGTGCCGTCTCGCTAGAAACGTTGGCTTCTTCAGCCCTCACCAGCAGTGAGCCCTGATGTTTTGCCGTGCTTTTGCCACGGCTGAGTGGGAACGACCCGCTCTGACCTTCTGCACCCATCAGCTGACCCAAAGTAAACTCTATGCTGCCAATAAAGTCCTGGTCCTTGAGCCTGTCGGGGGACGAGCTGTCTTGGTCGTAGACTTCCACCTTCAAGTACTGAACGGACTCGAAGTGGAACTCGACCAGGAAAAGCTTGGCCCATGTCGGATTCAAGTCATTCTGCCTCGTCTCTGTCCGTCCGATCGTACGCCAGCTAGCGCCGTCTGCGAAACAAATGCCAAGACACCATAGAGTCAAGTTTTATATCCAGCACGCGTTAGGCATCGAACGAGTTGCCTACTTTTCACGTAGAGCACGGCAAACGGGTCGGATCTCGAGACAATGTCACGGTCCTTGAGGTTCGTAGCACGTAGTGACAGCTCGACGGACGACGTGGGCGCGCGCACAGCCCCGACAGGAGGCGCAGCGGCAGCGTACATGCCTCCCCGGTGTCGAACCGGGCGCGACAGCGGCTTTTCGTCGCACGACGGGTTAATGGCCAATCACCTGCGACGAGAGAGCGCGCGTTCAGAAATCGCTTGATTTCTACCAGCGATCGTGACTTTTTACTATCTTGCGCTTTTTTGAGACGATCAAGTATGACAGTCTCCGACGCACCGCGTTTTGTTTGATACTGACGCCGTTTGCCGTTCCTGCCCCTCTTCCTCCTACCAGTGAGTCGATCATGCACTACGCAAGTGCACTTTATATCTACAAGTACGCTGACAGCCGTACAACGAGTGTGATGCATGCCTAAGAAGCTTGGCCGAGCTTTGCACGGCAAAAAGACCCTGTCCTCCATCACTGGTTGGAACATTAGCTCGAACGCGTGCTTGTGTTTGCAGGCGACGATCTGCAGCAGTGCACTGCGCAGAGGCACGTTGACGGGCCTTGCGTGCTCGTTCCGCTGCTATTCCCGCCCGATAGGGCCGTGGACGCCATGCATAAAACGAACCGACGCCGGCCGCGAAGTTTCGCTGAGATGGATGCAGTCTCAGGGCGGGCGGCCGTCCGTCCGTCCGTTTTCGCTGCTTTTGGTGCCGCCCGGAAAAGTCGGATCGGTGTATCACTGTTCGCACGGCGATACTATGACGCTCGCGACCATCTGGTCGGTCGGCTGTACACACTCGTCTTTCGTCGTGGAGTTTCAGAGCCAAATGTACCCACGTGCTCCTGGGCACGACGCCCTCCCCCCGAGACGATCCCCAGCGCGTGGTCATTCAGCAGCCCGCTCGATTAGTCTGACAAGCGCTTCCATGCAGCGAGTGGAAGAAACACGTAGAGTCATCGCTGCCATTGCGACGCCATGTGCCGAGATAAAGAGGAACCCCAGCTCACTCTCTGCTCTCTGCTCACTCTCATGTTTGTTTGACCGAATGTGCCGCCGGCCCAGTGGCCACGTGCCACCTGCGCGACGCTGCCGACTGTCATGAAGTTGCACGAGTACGTGCATCGAGACGTACGACTTCGCATCACGTCTGACACTACGTCCCGCTACGATTGACGTGAGCGTAGGAATACGACGCAAGTCGCTGGTCTGGCGACGACACTACGCACGGGCAAACACTGGCGTTCGCGACGCAGAGGCGACGGCTGGTCATGCCTTGTACATGTGTGCGTGTTCATTCGTCTTTCTGTGTGCGTGGCGGCGGTGAAATCGTGTGGGCGCCGCAGCTGTCGGAGCTGAGTCGTGAGGGATCACGAAAGCACGATCGAGACGGTCTCATTGGTGCAACGCGAATCCTGCGGTCTGATGATGACCGACGACCAGCCGCGCGCCATTGCGAACGATGTTAGGTGTATCAACAACATGCGACAATCGGCTCGACCGAGTGCACCAGTTGCCCATGTTGCGACGCTGCACGCAAAAAATCACTCCAACAGCGCCGGCTCTCTGCCCGACGAACTCGAGACTCGCGCTGCTTCGCTCGCAACAACGAAGAGCGTCACCTCTGTATCCGGCAGTACTGTACCTCTAGCGCTTGTCGCTCCATTGCTCATCAAGGGAGCGTCAGCAAGCACACAGAGCTCTCGGACCCTTGCAACAGGGACCTGTCCCCTAGTGTATGCGCTTCCTGCTTTCCCGGATGCGATTTGCTGCTGCACTTCTAGCACAGTTGGCCTGCGCGCAAGCTTCCTCCATGCTGAGCACAGCAGCCGCCCAGGCATGTCGCAGACACTGCTTGTGCCGGTTTGCTCGCCGTCAATCGCGTCAGCACGCTCGCCCTTCGCGACCACGACATCTCAAGTGGTCTCAGCGATAGAAACGCCTGGAGAAGTGCGTGGAGTCCGGTCCGTGATGACTTCCAATGGGCAGCAAATCAAACCAGCCGTTGCCTGGGCCCGGGTCGTCGTGCCGCGACGCTGGCAACAACAACAACAACTCCTCCGTCGCACACTCTCTCGAAGCCAAACGCCCTGGCCGTGCGAAGCCACCTGACAAATCTGATAGCTCTTTCTTTTTATGCAGACGTCGCGCAGCTTCGGGCCTCGAACGTAATCGAAGCGGTTCCGCACAGTTAATTACGGTCGTCGCTCGTCGAGAAAGCACTTTGCGTGAAACTTTTGTGCGGTGCTTGGCCGACAGGGTACGTGTGTTTTCACAAAGGCACACACACATTTTTCCCGCTTGTCTCTGCCACCAAAAGGAAACGGTAAGGCAAGTGCATGTATCATGTTAGGCCCGGGACCAGATTTTTTGCCTTTCGTGTCGCAAAGGCGGCGAATCTTTGACCGAAAGCAGCAGCGTGGGCTCCGTCCATCCGTCCGTCCGTCCATCCGTCCGTCCGTCCGTCCGTTCTTGTCACGAAAAAGTCCCGCAACAGATGCAGCTTTCCGGCTTTCGTGGAAGAGCTGAGTGCACTGTCGGGCATTCCTCCTGTTCCAAGTGCACGGCAAAGCCGCAACCGCCGATTCATCGGAGAGCTTCGTGGCATTTTATTGCACACGCTCCTACTGCTGAGCTAGAGATTGTGAACTGCCTGTCTCCCTACCACCTGAGACTATCGCGTCGAGCGAGTGTCCTATGCACGTGATGACGGCGGGGCGAGTTCTGCGTACCCTCATCAGCTTCGTGGATTGCCGACCGTCCTAAACTGTCTGCGTCACGCGAGACGTGGCCGGCGGCGACCGTACTACCACACACACACACACGCGCATAAACGCCCAGTTCTCATAAGTACGTTCCAAGAGGCGCGACCGTAACTCGCTGTAAACCCACGCGCTCGTCGTTTTGTACTGCTACTTCTACTACTTCTGCGGGTTCGCCTTCTTCTTCCTCTTCTTCTTCTCCTTTGGGCCCAGCCTAGGATGCGTTTCGTGTGCTGGATCGAAACATTCGGTGGTCGTAGCCACCGAAGTCGGACGAAGCCGTCGCGTGGGAGTGTACGCCAGCCATCTGCGAGCGTGCGGCGCCCCCGGAACACCCACCAGCCAGAACGAAACTTGCCTCGAACAGAACAGCACGAGCATGAGCAGTCGAAGTAGCAGCAGTAGCAGTAGCAGTAGCAATAGCCCACGCCACAGCCACAGCCATAGCCATAGCCATAGCCATAGCCCCCGCAGCCCCAAAGTCTGGGCCCAGGCCATCCACGCCGTGGCCGACCGCCGCCTGACGCTGCGACAGGCCGCCCAGACCTACGACCTCCAGCCCGCCGCGCTGCATCGTCTCGTGCGGCAGCACACACAGCGTCCGCCGCCGCCGTCGTCGCCGTCGCCCCGCGCCAGCCCCACGCACCCCAAGCGCAGCCACACGGCCAGCAACAACAACAGCAACAGCAGCAAGGGCTACGTGTTCCCGCGGCTGAACCCACTGGCGCTCGGCCACAGCAGTCCCGTGGGCGGCGTGTCGCTGCCGACCGTCGCGGCCGTTTTCGAGCTCACGCCCGAGATCAACGACGAGATCGTTGCTATCCTCCGCGAGCAGTTTGTGCCCCAGTCACAGCAGCAGTCGCTGTACAGGAACCACATGACCGACGCAGACGAGCGCTGCTACAGCCCGCGCGAGGGCTACGCCGACGCGGACATTGTCGACGTCGTGCGGGCCATTGTCGGCCGTAACGGGCGGCGCGTGCTGCCGGCGACGTTCCCCTCGGCCCAGTGGCTCGCCATGTTCAAGCGCGAGAACGACTTTCTCGACTGCCAGCAGCAACAGCAACAGCAGCAGGAAGACGACCCCACGCGACGTGACCAGCAGCTCCGATGGGCACCGAACCGCAGTCACCGTCAAGTCGCTGCGCCGCCCCCTCCGCTGTCGCCGCCGCTGACGAGTCCGGTCCAGCAACAACACGTGGCGTACGTGTGGGACAATGTCGACGGCGCCAGTCGGCACGCGGACGAGCTCCACTGTCGGCCGTTCGAGCCGGTGCTGTCGCACCGCGAGCGAGACAGCAGTCGCAGTCGCAGCAGCACGTTCCGGCGCAGTCCCAGCGCCGAGGACAGTGCGGGGGGTCTCGACCGGAACTACCGGCAGAGCAATCTCGTGCCGGCCAAAGTGTGGGAAGCGGCGATGGAGGACGTGGCGATCCACGGCATGAGCTTACGCAATGCCGCAAAAGCCCACGGCGTGCACTTTGCAGCGCTGCATCGGCGCCTGAAGAAGCGCCAGCAGCACAAGCTCAACATGCCGTGCGAGCCCAATTACATCCCGTTCGAAGACGAGGCAGGCGTCGTGCGTGTCATCCACGCACGCGCCGAGATGGGCGTGCTACTGACGTTCACTGAGCTCGTGGATCTCCTGCAGCGGACAGCGCTCAAGCACCGACCGGACCTCCCGGAAGATGTCGCCACGGCGCTTGTGCGTCGCTTCCAGTCCCGTGTCGAGCAGTCGGTGCGCCACTTGATCCTGGACTGGCCAGCGCTGCCGAGCAACGTGCTGTACCGCCTTCGCACGACAGGCGGCAGCGAGAGCGACCAATGCCGATCAACCGCCGAGGGGTCTGCTGCTGCGGCCAGCAATGGCAGCGACAGGAGTTTGCCGTTTCTCGTCAGTGGACGCAGCGGCGGCGGAACGTCGCTGTCGTCGTCGGGTTCGTCGTCGTCCCTATCTTCGCACCCGGGAGCTGCGTACCCAGTGATGCACAAGTCGCCTCTCGCTCCGACATCAAAGTTGACGTGGAACACCCTCGAGGGAGGCTCCACCTGCACGACCGACGACGGCGTCAATGGCTCTGTTGCAACAGTGTCACCGCCTTCCGACGACGGCGGAAACGCTCCAGTAACTGCTGCGTCGCTCTCGGAGACGGCGTCGAGACAGCCGTGCATGGTTTATCTCCTGTAAACGTTGTGCGTTGCTCCGGCCTCAGGAGCTCCTGAGCTGCCCACGCGCTGTTTGTTTTATCGATGGAGGGACTGCGTCGGACCGGCCGTTCACTGCGTTCGTTGGGTGTACAGTGAGTGTCGTCCGTTATGTTGTGCGTGGAGCGAGCGAGTCGGCTGCAGACGCGAGTGGTGATGTCCTACTACTACTGGAACGTGTTCGCGCATGTCGGACGTGTACTTTATGAGCCTCCACACACAGCCACGTCGCGTAGTAGTTAGTACATGTACAGGATTGAGATGAGTATTTTAAGGTATCGGTAGACGGCGTCTGCAATGAAAATCGATTGTTATCCAGTTCGTTCGCCACTGCAATGCCCTTCTGCGGACCTCGCTATGCTGTTATTTCCCGCGCAAGCTCGTTCCAAACGACGCACACGGTGCGATTAAAGCCTCCGTAACTGCTTAGGCGGGTTTCGCGACATCGAGCAACAAGGTACGAAGGTCTTCGGCCGTCAATCGCTGCTCGATCTGGGCGATGTCTCGATCACGTAGGACCGCATATTTGTACGTGCCGAGAGGGGTCGACAAGTTGGTGCAGGCAAAAAGCGTTTGCTTCGCGTTCGCGGACACCGACTCAGCGTGCACTATGGTGCTATTGCAGGATAGCATTCGCGAGAGAGGTTAGTTAGTGCAGGCAGGCAGCAACAGCAGCAGGATTATTCAGATGCGCACAACGTTTACCGTTGTGTGGTGAGGATAGCAGTGCGAGCAGCGACGCTCGAGCTCATTGTCGTCCATAGATGCAGCATACGCACTCGCGCTTCCTCGCGATCCATTGAACAAGAACCTCGAAATGAACCTGACCAGCAATAGTGTGATTGGATATACAGGGAACTCTCTACATTCGTATGCCTTACTTGCCATGCAGGTACGTGTCAATGAGGTCGATATCTTGCTGCAAGTCCCGACGTCGCTCGGCTTTCGTTGCTGCGGCCTCAGGTCCAACAAACAAAACGTCGTCCAACTCCTTTGTAGACGCATCCGCGACGGCCACGACGTCTTTGGCTGAGATCAGCCCCTTCTTGTACGCTCCAAGCGCTGCCCCAGCAAACGTCTCGAAAAACTCGACACCTTCCCTGCAAGCATCAGAAACACGCACAGAATGGAGTAAGTTGGGAGTCTCCAGTGCATAATTAGCACACGAAAGGTCGTGTACTTACGCAGCGTACACCCGCTTGACGCCGCCGTCGCCAGTCCGAGCAAAGAGGGGGTTCACGTCGTGAATGAAAGCGCCCAGCACCTGCTCTGCGCACTCTTTCAGCAGTCGTGATGCCAATAGCGCATCGCCCTGACCCGAGTCACCGAAAAAGACAAACTTGAACTCGGGAAACAGCGCTGCGAAGCGAGAAAAGTTGTCCATCTTGAGACCCGCAATCTTCTCGTTGCTCACGAGACCTTTAACTGATCCGTTGAGCACCGTGACGTTTGGCACGCCCAGTTTCTTCAAGTGTTGCAGTGTCAGATAGCGTCCAACACTTAGCCAGCCACGGGGTCTGGCAGTGAGGAAGGTGATCGACGGGTGCAAGCTGTCGCCCTTGGCATCGTGTGCGAGGCCACGTGAGAGCCGCGCGTACAGTTCCGACACGCCTGGGTACGGAATATGCAGCGGATAGCGCTTATCGAGCCATCCGGGAAAGAGCGTGTCGTCAATGTCACTGACCACCTTGACCAGATGCGGCTGTTGCTCCTTAACCTTGAGGCTTTCGACTGCAATGTGTTGCATCATGGCCACGACTTCCGTGATGTTTTTGTTTCCAAAGATGAGCTGAATGAGGTCGCCGGAGTGCGGCGGTTCTTCGTGAGCAGACGTTCTGTGACGAGCTGAGCCTTCACCTGCGGCAGCCATGTCAGTTCCAAACTGAATATGGCCTGCTGGGTCGATGAAAGCCTCTTCATTCAAGTGGATCTGTTCCTTGAGAGCCGACAGCTCCACGCCAAATGTACCGCAAATCACATTCTTGGCCGCACTGCGCAGCGCGCTCTTGTCACGGATCAATGGCAGCGACAGACAGCGCTGGATAGCGCGGATCACCAGCGCTCGATTCGCAATCGTGATTTCGTCCAGCCGCTGCGTTGTCAGGACGTCCAGCACCTTTGCCCGTCCCGACGGCGTGCACGAGTACAGCATAAAGCCGACCATTGTCCTGCAAAACTGGTTCGACACCTCGGGCGACGTGGCGCCGAGCATGCCATTGAGACTCGACGTTGACGCGGCGGCCAGCACGTTATGGCACGCCAGAGGGTCGTCCAGTCGTCGATTCCGGGGCTTCAGCCGCACTTCTTTCTGCATCTCGTCACTAAAGACAATGGCCGTCGCGTCGTCTTTGAGCGCCTTGTAGCGCCACGCCGTGCGCTGCTTTAGCCCCTTCCACTTCTGCTGCAGTCCGCCGGCTGCCAACGCCCACGTCGACGTATCGCGTCGCTGTCAGTAGCTCAAGTTAGTCAGAGCTGTTGGTGCCAATGAGTTTCCTTAGCTTGCGCGTCCGTGCGCACCGTACCGTATCGAGAAACGAGTGTGTCCTGTAGCAGTGCATTGCAGGGACATGTGAGACGTCATATCGAGGCGCTGGACGTCTGCGATGAGGCAGTACGGGCGCCGGAAGCCGTCGACGCAGATGCATCGAAAGCCGGGACTGTAGATGGCGACCATTGTGTCGTGTCAGCTTATGTTGCGCAACTGACACAGTGTTGCACATGTGCAACATAGCAAGGTCGTCGTCGACAGGGTATATGGCAAAGACGTGAGTACTTTCAACATGTTTCGGTATCGTTAGCGCAGAGGAACTCAAACTCGGCCATTATGGGCACGTGGTCACTGCCATGTACGGAATTGGGGATGCCGTTGTAGTTGCCGTGGAGACCCAATGGCAGGCGGCCGGATCGGTCCAAGCTGTCGGACAGAATCAGTCGGTTGAACCAGTTCGGCGGGCCGTCTTCAGCCCGTAACTCGGACTCGGGCGGAATCGCCAGCACGCGTGACGGAACCAAACTGCTCTTCGAGTACCAGATATAGTCAATCGTCCAGCAGCGCCGAAAGTTTACGGTAGTGTGCGGCGGCTCAGCTTTCTCGCCTTCCTCGACCTCGAGCGATTGCAGTGCCTCTGCTGACTGTTCTCGTGCGCTTGCCAGTGCGTTTGACTTGTAGAACGCGTAGGCACTACGAAAAGCTTCGCTCACGCCCTCCACATTGGGTTTCTGCATGAACGAGCTTTCCATGTACTCGTAAACGGGCGACTCGGGCGAGTTGTTGAAGTCGCCGCATAGCACGATCGGTACGCTGTTCTGACCCGTGTACGTCGCAGCTAGCTCACGCTCGTACTTGTCCTTCACGTCGCTGCTCATGCGAATGACCTCTTCCTCCAGCTCAAACAGCTCCGCCATCTGGTGATCCACCTTCCTATGAACAGTGCAGGCAGAAAACAAGAAGTCGTGTCATGCTCTGAGGGCACTTGTTGCGACCACACATTCAACTCACTTGGCATTCCACCACAAGTGTGTGCAGCCAACCAGCACAAACTGCGCAAAGTGACGCATCTTCAGAAACGCCAAAACGGCCACCCGGTCGTGCGGATCATGGAAGTTCACGGCTTCAAACTCTTTTAGCTCAAACTTGTCTTTCCTGATCCAGACACAAGCACAAACACACGCAGCAACATCAGACCGTCGGACAAAGGTCTCGATCATACCAGCAGCGACTACAAACACGAGATGTACGCTTCACTCACTTGTAGAAAATCCCGCAACCGTCGTGCTTCTTCTCGCCGGACCAGTTCGACACGTGGATGGACGGACGCTTGACGTAGACGCTTTCGTACCCTCGATCTTGTAGTTCTGGCTTAAAAAATCTACAGTCCAACACAAGAATCGACACTGTCACTCCCACTACTTGCGATTGTGCCACATGCTCTCCAGTACTACTGCACGCCTCGCACGTACGTCCAATAGTCACTGAGTTCCTCGAGACACAGCACGTCTGCGTCCAGTGCGTCCAATTGCCTCAGCAACGCCATCTTTCGGTTCTCCCAGTTCAAACTCGACTCCAAGACGTACGGGAAGTGGTTGCGTGTCGCCAAGTTGCTCGCCAAGATGTTTAGCTGCAGCACACACTCGTCAGCGGCTGCAGATGGCAACACAAGTCACTCCGTGCATGATCAAGTACCTGCACGACCGTGATCTTCTGCGTACTGAGCTTGCGATGATCCACCTGCTCGAGTTCCTTCACACAGGGCAGTAACGGTCCACGCGACAGTCGTCCATTGTGGGAGCTACATAGACCACGTCGAGCCGGACAGTGTGCAGACGCCTGGCGGAGAGCCCGCCATAGATTCTTGTTGTGTCCAGAGAACGAGACCGACGCGAGGACGGCCACGCCGATGCCGAGACACACGGCCGCCGGGCGATGAGAGACCGTCACGCTCATGCTGGCGCCAAACAAAAGAGCTGCAGGACGGTCCTCTCAAAGTTGATACGTGCTGTCTGCGTAGGTACGGCAAAACCGGCAGTCGCGCGTGAAGTAAGTGCATGAAGGGGCGCGAAGCAGCACTACTTCTCACCAGGCTCGAGATTGGCTGCCACCCGTTCGCCACGCAGCACAGCCACTCAACTGGTCCCGTTGTTGTCATTTTGGATTCAGGTTACTGTCAGTCCAACGCAACTGGTACGTGATGTTCATAGTGGCAGCGCATTTGCTTCGACTGCAGTGAAACGAAGTGGGTGGTAGAGCTGCCGTAGCTAATGGCCTCTCTTGTCTGAACAAAAACGCACAGCCCTCTATCCAACATGTCCCTTGTCAACAAGCCCAAGACCGTCGAAGCGGAGGAGACCCGTATCCACCGCATTCGCATTACGCTCACGAGCCGAAATGTGAAGAACCTGGAGAAGGTATGCACGGACCTCAAGCGTGGCGCGGTGGACAAGAACCTGAAGGTGTCGGGCCCCGTGCGTCTTCCCACGAAGATCCTGCGTCTTACCACGCGCAAGTCGCCTTGTGGTGAGGGTACCAACACGTGGGACCGCTTCGAGATGCGCATCCACAAGCGCATCATCGACTTGCACGCGCCTTCGGACATTGTCAAGCAGATCACGTCGATCTCGATCGAGCCTGGCGTCGAGGTTGAGGTGACCATTGCCGACGCCTAAGTGCATCATTGATGCACTTAGGCTAGTGTTCCCGATCGGACACGATGGGGCACTCTCGCTGATGCTTGGGGCGGTACTGAGTGACTTGGGACGATGGTCATGAGGCATGGAATTGCACGAAGTGCCTTTTCTCGGGCGTGAATCGAATTCCTACCTCACGTGTGTCTGTCTCAATTGCCAATTCGCCTATTCTCCATCGCTTTCCCGCTTTTCGTCTATCTCGAGAACGCAGACAAGCTCTCACCTTCGAGGCCACCTGCAATGCTACAATGTTGCACACTCCACTCGCACCGTCGTCGAAGTCAAGCCATGCCACCAGTTGAGAAACGACAGCTCAACATCGCTGCTGACTCTGCGTGCAGCACGTTTCCATACAACGACAACGTCAGACCCTTCTTCTTCTTCTTGGCTGCAGGGCCACCAAGCCAGAGTCGCACCTCAGGCAGCACTGGCATCCCCATCCCATACTTGTGCGGGCCCATAAAAACAGGATACTGTCGTCACAATCGAGGGCCACCCGCAACGTCGATCTGCCTAGACTGCGTATCCTGCTTCTTATGCGCGGAATGCGCGCCGTCGCTCCCTCAATAAGCCCCGACAATTTACGTGCACCACACTATATCCGACCTCCACCACGTGATCCGCACGCAACGCGGACGAGTCAATCCGACACGAGCGCACCGTCACCAGCCATCGTGCAAAAGTCCACCGCGTCGAGACTCAGCGCGCGCGCGCTCTCTCTCTCTCTCTCTCTCTTTCCATGGCCTCGTCGACGCCGCTCGTGGTGCTCTGCAGTGACCGTGCGCCCGACGCGCTCGTGCAGACTGCTGCAGCGCTGCAGGCGGGCGGTCTGCGCGTCGCCGCGCTCTGCTCTCCCGTTGTGGCTGCTGCGTTAGTGACTGCCAACGTGCCGCACGTGGCTGTGGCTACACCCGCAGACGTCCAGCTCATGCTCTCGGACCGTGTGGAAGCGGTCCTTGCCCTGCCGCCTGGTGTCGCTGACGTATACGATGCTGCTGCACGTGCCCGTGTGGGGAACTGGATCTCTGGCGCCTACTCGTTCGTCCGCACTGCTGCGTGGCACCACAAACAGATCAGTGTCGTCGTGGACGAGACGGACTTGCCGATGGTACAGAGCAAGCTCGCAAGCAATGGGTCGCTCGTGTTCTCGCTGCGTGAACGACGTGCACTGGCAGAGAAGGCCTTTGCTTTGTTCTCCGAGCTGGACAAAGCGATTGCTGCAAGTCTCAATGGCGACGACGAGGTCGTGCACGACGTACTGCTCGTGGGCAACGGAGGCCGTGAACATGCGATTGCATGGAAGCTGGCGCAGTCTGCTTCGACCGGCCACATCTACGTCGCACCGGGCAATGCTGGCACAGAGGACAGTGCTGCGGGCATTTCTAATGTGGATATTGGCGTGGATCAGTACGACGAGCTCATTGCCTTTGCCAAGCGCAAAGGCGTGTCGTTTTGCGTTGTTGGGCCTGAAGCTCCACTGATTGACGGACTCGCAGACAAGATGAATGCTGCTGGTATCCCCGCTTTTGGGCCTAGCAAAGCAGCTGCTCAGCTCGAAGCGTCCAAGGCGTTCTCAAAGGACTTTATGCGTCGCAATGACATCCCAACGGCGGCGTATCGGAACTTTACCGACTACGAAGAAGCCAAGAAGTACCTCGACTCGATCGGCCACAACATTGTCGTCAAGGCGTCGGGCATTGCTGCTGGCAAAGGTGTGCTCATACCGACGTCGAAGGCGGAGGCTCACGAAGCCCTGCGTGAGGTCATGCTTGAGAAGGCTTTCGGATCGGCGGGTGACGAAGTTGTGCTGGAGGAGTTCATGACTGGCGAGGAAGTGTCGCTTTTGGCATTCTGCGATGGCCAGCAGGTCGTGTGTATGCCTGGTGTGCAGGACCACAAGCGTATCTTAGACGGCGACCAAGGTCCGAACACGGGCGGCATGGGCGCCTACGGCCCTGCTCCGTGCCTCACTAGCGAGCTTGAGCGTGAGTGTATTGGCATTGTTGAGCGTGTGATTGCTGCCATGAAGAAGGAAGGCATGCCGTACGTTGGCGTGCTATACCCCGGCTTTATGCTCACTCCGACGGGTCCCAAGATCGTCGAGTTCAACTGCCGTTTCGGTGACCCGGAGACGCAGGTCGTGCTTCCGCTACTGCACAGTGATCTGTTCGAGATAATGCGTGCTTGCGTGGAGCACCGTCTTGATCCCTCGCTTGTGTCGTGGAAGAGCGGTGCTGCAGCTACTGTCGTGATGGCGTCTCAGGGCTATCCGAATAGCTACCCCAAGGGTAAGGTCATAGCGGGTTTGGACGACGCCGGTTCGCTGAAGGACGTGGACGTATTCCACGCTGGCACGAGAAAGGCTGCGGAAGGTAGTATCGTAACTTCGGGAGGTCGTGTGCTCGCTGTCACTGCCGTCGGTGCTTCGCTACAGGACGCTCTTGAGCTAGCGTACGAAGGTGTATCGAAGGTCCACTTTGACGGCACCCAGTACCGTTCAGACATCGGTTTGAAGGGTTTGTTGCATGGTGCGAAGAAGCTGAAGCTAGCTGTACTGGGATCCACTCGTGGCAGCAGCATGCAGCCTATCATCGATGCGATCAAGGCGGGCGAGCTGAACGCCAGTGTTGACATTGTGGTTAGCGACAAGGCTACTGCTGGAATTTTGGAGCGTGCACAGAAGCACGAGATTGAGTCCGTAGCTCTGTCGGCCAAGGGGATGTCGCGCGCTGACTTTGATGCGCAAGTGTCTGATATTCTGGTCAAGAAGAAGGTCGATCTTGTGCTGCTGATAGGATACATGCGCATTCTGTCGAGCGAGTTCTGCAGAAAATGGGAAAACAAGGTGCTGAACGTGCACCCGTCGCTTCTTCCGGACTTTGCTGGTGGCATGGACCTGGCTGTTCACCGCGCTGTGATCGATGCAAAGAAGACCGAGAGCGGCTGCACGGTGCACTTTGTGACGGAGCAGGTAGACGCCGGTCCGATCGCTGTGCAAATGAAGTGCCCTGTTCTCGAGACGGATACACCCGAGTCGCTGAAGGCGCGTGTCCAGCCACTTGAGGGTGCTGCTTTTCTGCATGCGATCAAGCTGGTACAGACTGGTGTGTTGCTGAAGAAGAAGGCTGGAAAGAAGGAGATTACGTACGCAGACGCTGGTGTAAGCATTGATGCTGGAAACGATCTGGTCAATCGGATCAAGCCGCTGTGCAAGTCGACTGTACGTGTAGGCTGTGATGCTGACCTGGGTGGGTTTGGTGGTATCTTCGACCTCCAGGCTGCAGGCTATGATAAGGACACGGCTCTTGTGGCGTGTACAGATGGCGTAGGTACCAAGCTGCGAGTGGCGCAGCTCGCTAAGAAGCACGACACCGTCGGCATCGATCTTGTTGCCATGTGCGTGAACGATTTGATCGTACAAGGCGCAGAACCTCTGTTCTTCCTGGACTACTATGCTTGCGGGAAACTCGACGCGGAAGAAGCTGCTGATGTGGTGAAAGGCATTGCCGAGGGCTGTCGTCAGTCGAATTGCGGCTTGATCGGCGGTGAGACGGCTGAGATGCCCTCTATGTACCACGGCGGTGATTACGATATGGCCGGGTTCTGCGTGGGTGCTGTCCGCAAGAATGCCATCTTGCCGCTGTCCGTGGAAGCTGGTTTTGCGGTGCTAGGGTTGGCCTCTTCGGGTGTGCACTCGAACGGGTTCTCGCTCGTGCGTAAGCTCGTGGAGATATCGGGTCTCGCGTACAGCGATCCGTGTCCATTCGAAGCTGGTAAGACGCTGGGCGAGAGTTTGTTGACCCCTACGAAGATTTATGTCAAGCAGCTGATGCCCGTTGTCAAATCTGGTCTCGTCCACGCGCTCGCTCACATTACCGGTGGTGGGCTCTTGGAAAACATTCCGCGTGTTCTGGCCAAGGATTTGGCCGTGGACATTGACTGTAGCAGCTGGCCACTGCCTCCCGTGTTCAAGTGGCTGCAGAAAATGGGTAACCTCTCGGATGCCGAGCTTGCCCGCACCTTCAATTGCGGTATCGGAATGGTGCTACTCTTGCCCGAGGCCAACGTGGCAGAGGTCACGCGTCAGGTTGAAGCGACTGGCGAAAAGGTGTTCCGTCTCGGTACGACAATTGCATGTGCGTCTGGTGCGGAGCAAGTTGAGCTTCGCGGTCCTTTGGCGTAGATGGGCTCGTTCGGGCAGCCGAGACTTTGTTTGGTGCAAGTGGGTGGTCAGCTTCCGGGTATGTTTCCCAATAGGTACTGACATCTTTGCTTCCACTTGGCTGCATCCGCCCGCTGTCGTCGCACTGGACACGTCAACTAAACGGGGCTTTCGCCTGCGCATTGGTCGTAGACGAGATGCCGAGTAATAATTCACAACCGTACACTTGAGTTTGGACTGCAAGTCGTCGTCGGTACACAAGACGCAGCAGCCGAAGCAGATATTTCGATACCTCGATGAAAAGGTGCCGGACGTTCTGCTGCCGATCAATCAAGCGAGTGGATCGTAGCGATGACGGTATCATGCAAGCGAGTGGATAGTACGATAGGATAGTAGTAGATTTTATCCAATCGTACTATCCCCCCTCCCCTCCCTTGATCCGCTCTGACTTGCCACATCTCGATATTCCGGTCGCTCAGGGGGAAGTTGCGTTGCGCTGGACCGGATAACTGCCTGGATAGAGCCGGGCCGACGTGATACCGGCAATCCGGTGCAGGCAGTCTGTATACTTTACGGCATGATAGACGTACACCTTACGACGGACGTGGCGCCTCCTCCCGCCTGGTTCTGGTTTCTGCGACCACACGAGCTTCAGCTGAGCCTCCCCCACCCCTCCCATCAATCAGCTTGCAAGCGTGGGATCAGTCGGAAAGACAGCACGTCGGTTCCACGGGGCTCTGTCGACGCCAGTGTCTTTCTTTTTACCGCATCGACGTGGCGTCGACGACAGTGATCGATCGTTCTGTGCTGCGGCGTAATTTGTCGTGTGGTAGTGTACCCAAACACACCCACCCAAACACCCCACCCACACACACACGAAAAACGCATGGGGCTGGTCGGTTTGTGAGCTCAATAGCGTACTCGGTAACATGCATGTGCCCAGACAATGGGGACGGAAGGAGCGATCGGGTGTGCGCGAAGTCATTTGAAGAACTGCACGCAACAGCGTCAGGCAGTATAGCGTCAAGCATTGACGGCAGGCCGATGTGGTGACCGTTGTGATGTGGAAAAGAACGCCGCGTTGCTCATGACTTCCTCATCTATTCGTTTTGCAGCCATTGGAAAGGACTGCATACTGTAGGCAGTGGCGACTCTAGATTTCCCGAGCGAATGTGGCGGTAGAGATGGGTTGTGACGCATGTATACGAAGATCGCGAAGGGCCTCGCGATGCCAACGATCTTTGCACTACTGAAAGCAACAGCTCGCGTTCTTATGGACGAGCTTGCGACGCGAACGACGTCACATGATACAAGTCACGCAAGTTGAACTGTGCAAGTGGCACGATCTGACTCAAATGGGCGCTATGCTGCGGCTCGCCAAGAGTGTTTCTGATGCAGAACAGGACGTTGGAGAAGCCTCGTGCAATAGACGGGTCTATTACTTGATACTGGCAAAGCCAACCTATGCGGCGACCACGGGCTCTCTTCATTTGACGTGCCATTTTCCGCAGACTGTGCGTGTTCCGATCGCGCCACAGCAAAACGGCACATGAATGAGAAACAGGTCCGGTGATCTCATTTGTTTTGCTGTGGTAACGAGCAACGAATGCGGTCAAAATGGTGAAAAAAACAGCACGATGACCATGTGCGCTAACAAGACGATTACGCACGACGTTTCGCAGCTCTTGTTTCGCGTTCGTGGACGCTTCCTTACCATGACGAAAGTCTCGAAGCAGCCCGATGTTTGCACTGGTTCACCCACTCGAATGATGTGTTCATGGACAGCTTTTTCTTTGCAACACGTCGTAGCTTTGACGCAATAGGGGTACGATCATGATGTACACAAGCGATCGAGTCCGCTCTTGTTTTCACGTGCTTTGTCTGCAACGCTCGCAGGACGATGTTGTTCGCCAAGGTCAACGAGGTCCGGATCACGAGGTGCGACTGCGGTGACGAACAACGTGATGACCCGCAACGTCCTGGTACCGCCATGCGTGACCAGACCCTACTCAGTCCTCGTTACCTCGTCAAGCGACCACTCGTTTTGTTCAATGGATTCACCCACTGAAAGTGGAATTGGCTCCCGAGACATAACAGTAGTGAGCATCACGAGAGTAGTCACTCAGAGACCGCACGAACCCAAATATTAGACGGACAGAGATGTTTTGTCCTCACTGGAGGACACGACACGACAATCCAACGACTTTCTCGGTGAAAATTTGCCGTCGACTGATCAAGAGAACAGTTTTGCAGTCGACGGCGAATTATTCGAGTGCAGCAGCATGGCCCGTCTGCGCGCGTACTGCTGAGACAGTGGGACTAGGAGAGTTATATCGAGCCCCAGCCGTGCCCATCTCCTCTGGAACCCTTTCTCACTGCCTTTCGGGCAGCACAGTGCTCTCGGTACAAAGTGCTGCGTTGACCTCACACGACTGCCCACAAATACTTCGCTGTCATACTCCCGAGTTCGTGGCATCCCCGTGGCCGCCACGCACGTTGCTACAGCAGTACCCCGCTCCTAGCGCAGATGGCGCCGAGAAATATTGAGCTGCATGACTTGGACAGGTGCGACCCGCGACGAGGCGGAAGTAATCGAAACGCACTGTCGCAGCCGATCGTTCCCTCTCGAATCCGAATCAAGAGCAACGACTGTCTCACGTGCTCTTCTTGGCCATGCGCGGCCAGACAGACTGTCGTCAGCCTACCAGCTGCAATCGCTCGCTTGCTTTTGACAACCTACGGCGACGAGTCGTTTGTCGGTCAGTCGGTCGATCAGTCAGTCAGTCAGTCTGACTGACTCAAGGCTAGCGTGGATTTTTGGATTTTTGCCCTCGGGGAGTCTCCAGAAAAGCTGATTTTTTTCACCAGGTAGCTCTCGGCTTTGCCACGTCGATGTGCTCGCCAACTGTCGGCTGACAGCTGGCTGTCGAGTCGCGCGCGCTTTCTCGCTCGTCCCAATTGCGGCTTCTTCTTTTGTCCGCGTCTTGCTTTTACCATCTACGGATCTCCTCGCCCTAAACACACACACAGGTACACATACACGCGCCCAAACCTCCTCCTTGAGGTCAAGCGAGTATGTGGCCCACACAGACACACAGACACACTCACACACTCGGCGAGCAGCTACTCCACCTTTGCAAAGCTGTGCGTTCATCACTCTTCATTTAGCGCCGCGGCCCACAAGTGACCGGTATCCGACTCACTCAGTCTCGGACCACACACGCGTCAACTCGCCCGTGCGCTCTCCATGGACTGGATGCAGCCCCGCGACCAGTTCCTGCACGGCTCGGCGCCGTCGGCCGCCCCGTCCTTCATCCTCGTGGACGCCAACAACCGCGTCCGGGAGCTCACGGACCCGCTCAAGCGCCAGCTCGGGGCGACCCAGGGGCTGTACCACCACCATCATCACCACCACCACCACCACCCGTCGGCCAGCGACAATGGCCTCTCGGCCGCCGAGCTCGAGGAACAGCGCCAACTCGAGCAACAGGTACAGGTCCAGAAGCAGGAGATGTGCCTGATTGCGCCTCTCCCGCGGCCAGACGTCGGCCGCCTGTGCGTGCCCACGACGTCGCACGCCTTTACCTACGGCGACTCGCGACCGGCCACTAACGTGCACTCGACGCCTCCTTTAGCCCCACCCGTGTCGCCGTTCGCGAGCATGGCGCTCTCTGCCCCGGCGGCACCCGCGCGCAAGTCCCGCAACCCGTTCCTTAGTGCAATGACCGACCAGAGCCCGCGCCTGCCGTCGCTCAACGCGATGCGGAGCTCCCCAGGGACCCACCTCAAGCAACTCGGCATCGCTTCGCGGCCGCCTCCGCTCTCGCTGCGGTCGTTCTCGGACGTGTCGACGCTGTCGTCGTCGTCCTACTCGCCGTCGCCGTCGCCGTCGCCTCTTCGTCAGCCACAAGCAGCAACAGCCACAGCCACAACACCAATGCAGCCGCCGCAACAACAACAGCAGCAGCAGCAGCCAAAGCCGCCGTGTCGCTCGCGCTCGAACTCGTCGCTGTCGTCAGCGGCCTCCATGTCGCCGATGCTGTACTCGCAGTCGCTCCCCGGCGTCTCGTTCTTGCAGGACCGGAGACGCTCGCGCATGTCGTTCGACGACTCGGACTGCACGTCAGTGCTCTCGTCCGACGACAGGGAAAGCAGCGCGCGCCTCTTCAGCTCGAGCGTCGGCCGCAGCGAAGGCAGCAGCGACGCCATGACCGCCGCCGCAACGGCTGCCGCGGCCCAAGCGGCGCTGAGCAACAGCAACGCGCGCAGCGGTCGCGTGTGTCGGTACGCCAACTGCAGCAATATCGCGCGCTCGCGGGGGCTGTGCCGCACGCACGGAGGCGGCAAGCGGTGTTCGCACCCGACCTGCAACAAGAGCGCTCAGGCCAACCGCAAGTGCATTGCGCATGGCGGGGGGACGCCCTGTTCGTTTGAGGACTGCGACAAGACGGCGCAGTCCCGCGGTCTGTGCAAAGCTCACGGCGGCGGCGCTCGGTGTAAACACCCCGACTGTCCCAAGAGCAGCCAGTCGAAGGGTCTGTGCCGCGGCCACGGCGGCGGGATCAAGTGCAAGGCCGAGGGCTGTGAAAAGTGGGTACAAAAGAACGGCTACTGCATTAAGCACGGCCGCGAGCGCGCAATGGAGTAGCTGCTGCTGGGCAGCGCAGCGACTGGCAAGGGCAGGCGTGGGTTGCTGTGGATGATTTATTTGATGGAGGGCGCGAACAGCGCGTGTGTAGTGGAAGAGCGCAGTCAGGAGGGAAGCAGAGCGACAGGCAGAGAGAGAGAGATGTAGGCAGGTGGTGGCCACGCCTGCAGAGAACGGGACGGCTTGTTCACTCACTGTATGGGGCTCGTCTAATGAAGTTTGATTGGAGATCGTACGGTGCTGTTCGACGACCGACTTTGCAGGCGGACCGCGAGCAGCTCATAAGCGGGCGCTGAGAGGCGTGTGGTGTATACTGCTGTATACTCCGTCGCGACGGATCGAAGTAAGTATACGCCATCGACAACAACGACGACGACGTGTGTGTGTGTGTGTCTGTGGACAAGAAAGCAACGGATTTGTCTCATTTCTGTGCTTCGAGCGCATGTGTCTCTCGCGCGCTTTGCCCCTTTCGGTCAAAATTGTTGCCGACTGCGACTGTTGCGTCGAGCGACCGAGTGGAGGGAAAGAAACAACACGCACACAAGTGGGACGGTGGGCCTTCTGCAGGCGACGCATCTGCTGCCCCTTCGTCTCGGTGGCCCTTGTCCCTCGCTTTGTCAGGCAGACACAAGGACATGGCGTGTGCGCGTCGATGCGCTTGGTGGAGCGCTAGAAAACAAACGGTACTCTTCACTTTACACACACCCTCGACATCGCGTTCGGGGGACGAGAAACCAACTGCATGCGCAACGACAGTGTTCTCGCGCTGTGTTTCTGCTGGGTCCGGAAAACCAGCACAAGGCACACACACACACACGCACACACGATAACAGGTGATGCACCTATGTTTCGGGCGGCCCCCTCTGTTTCTCGTGGTCCAGCTGATGGGTTTTTGCATGCAACAACATGTGACGATGGACGTTGTCGTTGAGCTCGCCTCGACTACGGCTGGGCCTCGTTTGCGAGGAAGTAGTTTCGGCAAGAGCCAGTCGATTGTAGGTAGCAGTCAATGGAAGAAACGGACACGCACAGGTTTGGTTTCGTCTCGAGAAGTTGACGAACGACGCGACAAGGCGAGCGCTGGGACGCGAGAACCGAACCCGTGATGTGCTCTCTGGAGCGGACCTCCACGCAGTAAGTGTGTGCCCATGTTCGAGCGAAAGACCCCGACGCCAGCCTTGGCATGTTGCTGCAACAGTCAAGTTGAACAGATCGTTCGACGAGCGTCGTTCTGCACGAGCGCTGCAAGAACCACGAAACCTTCCCACCACCTCTCTACAAGAAAGCAGCGCATGAGACCAGCCGTCGCACAAACTGCAAACGCGCTACTGTCTCGCGCGAACAACTACTACACGTGTCGCCGTCGACCCGACATTTGCTGCTGCTGCTGCATGTTTTTCTTCTGTCGAAGCGTGCGGGAAAGTGGAGCAGATAGGGAGGGGCCCACTCGGAGATCGCTCGATCGATCGCTCGAGAGAGCCACATGGAGCGTGACACTGCTAACAGGTTCTTGAAGTTGAACTTCTCAATGATTTCTTGCAGGCTGTTTGCGTAACAGATGCCTGCAGGTAGCCAGCCAACTGGTCGAAACGGTCGACAAATCGAAGGTTTGGACACTTGTTCGTGCGACAAAACCACAGAAAGCTCGTGCGACAAGTGCATGTAGCCATGTTCGCTCGAATCTGTGTGTCGTTCGTGTGGCACCAATTCACGACTTCGACCCGACACGCAGCAATGGCTTCTGTGCGTAATGAAGCGCCCGCCGTCGTCGCCGCAAAAGTGCCAGTGCTCCACATCAAGTACGATAAGCTTTGCACGTGAATTTCCATGCACACAGGCATCTCGTTGTCTTTTGTTTTCAGGTGGTGGCGACGCAGAGCCGCCGCTTTTTGTGCCAACAGGGAAAAAGACGTGATGCTAAATGGGTACAACCGTCGTGGATCGACTGACGTTGACATGTGACGGTCGGTTGATCCGTACAGGAACTTTGTCTGCTCGGCGAATCTCGGCATGCGATTCGACTTGACCAATTTGATGGTCAAGTCGCTCCGACGGGCAGAATTGGTGCCAAAGAAGAACTGCATCTTGATGAAACTGCAGAACCCCAAGGCCACGGCCATGCTCTTTGCGAATGGCAAATTAGTCTGCACGGGCGCACAGACGGAAGAAACGATCAAGAATGTGGCTCGTAGATTCACACAGGTGATCCAGAAGATGGACTTCCCAGGAGTCAATCTCATTGATTTCAAGATTCAAAACGTCGTGGGCACTTGTGACTTGGGCTTTCGAGTGCTGATGGAAGCGCTTGCATTTGCACACAGTGATTGCTGCACGGTACGAGACTGTGGCGAGTAGGATACGGTTTGCTCGCGTGGTGCATGAGTCATGTCAACTCATGTTGCACTGTTGCTTCGTTCGTGTAGTACGAGCCGGAGCTCTACCCAGCACTAATCTACCGCTTGGAAAAGCCTCGAGTAAAAATCCTTGTGTTTGTGAGCGGCAAAGTAGTCTTTACAGACTCAAAGGATCCACGAGAGCTATGTACTGCCTGCGAAACCATTTTTCCGGTACGTATCGTGAAGCTGAGAACATGTGCAGCGTTGCTCATGTGATTTGTTGTTGCTGCTAGATACTTTGTCAATTCAAAGACCTCAAGCCCATCAACTTGAGCAACAACGAAATACCGCCTGAGCGTCATCATTCGGCAACGGAAGCCAACGATGAGTCACATCTGGAAGAGTAGAAGGAGGCGCACTAGAGTCTGCGTTTGCATTCAGCACAGAGGCTATCGCGCCAGTCTTCAGAGTACACGTTTGTGTCATATGCATCCCACAGCACCAAAGCGGTGTGTAATCGTACTGCAACGATATCTCGATTGTTGACCAGGTCTGCCGTCCCATACAGGCAAAGCTGTTACCTTTCACCAATGCACAGTTTGCGCCACGTACCTGTCTTGTTCGTTTTCAGTCAGTAAGGTGAACTTCCTGGCACCGAAGGTGACGGTTCATTAACTTCGATAGAAGTGCTAGGAACCGGCGCTCTCCCAGCTTTCCGTCATGCTAGCAACTGCGCTGCTCTTGCGAGCTTTCTCCTCGGATCCTGGTATTCACAGGTGAGAGCAGGCTCGAGCAGATCGCCATGCAACATACAGGATGAATCCCAATGTAAGTTCATATAGTCAGCGAGCAAGTCTAGCAGTACTCCTGCTGCCAAACTCGCCTTCTTATCGAATGCTTTCAGCTTGTCCGTCACCTCAACATGAACGTGTCTGCTACTTGATCTTAGCGGCATTGGCCTCCGGCAGCCGCTCGATCACATATTTGCGGTTGGAAATATACATGATGGGTACACCAGGAACCTTCCGGATGCGACGCTTGAGCTCGCGATCGCACGTTGCAATGACGTAGCAGCGGTGCTGCTGCACACGCTGCAAAAGACAGTCATCGGCGTACGTGCCCTTGTGCGTGCAGGGCAGTCGCTCAAAACGCGGGTCCTTTGCTAGACGCAGCGCCACGCGGTATTTCTGCCCAAGCTTCTCCAGCTCTGCCATGACGCAGTCCGTGATGCACGGAACGCCTGCACGAGTCCAAACAAAGCGCACAACAACAAGAAGGTTACCAACGAATGGTCTGGTCTGTCCACACGACGACTGCATGAGGTCCCCGGGATGCTGAAGCACTTACACTTGGCGAGCAGACAGTCCATCATGGCCGAGACGACCTCGAGCTTGTTCTTGATGGAGAAATTGATAAAGTTTGTATCGACAATGACATTGTATGGCGGACCCAGTGCCGAGTTGTACTTGAAAAACATGTTGGACGGGACCTGGTCACTGCAAGGAGCCACAACACACAACAGCAGCAGCAGCAGCAGTGAGTTTCCAGCCTCCCTCTCTCTCTCTCTCTCTCTCTCTCTCTCTCTCTCTCTCTCTCTCTCTCTCTCTCTCTCTCTCTCTTTCCAGTCGTACCGCGCGGCACTTACATTTGCTTTGGCTCTGATGCTTTGCGCTTCTTTTCTTCGGCTTTCTCGACCGCTTTGCGCACCGAATTGCTGCACGCGTGTGCCACAAGAGACTCAGTATTCAAATCTGTACCCTCGAGACACTTAGAAACGGCCGTACATGCGCGTGTCACGAGGACTGATCATGCGCTTGACCGCCGCGAACTTGCGCGTCTTCTTCATCTTCCCCTATTGCACATGGACACAGCACAAGCACGTAGCGTGAGCCGCCAGGACATCGTCCGTGACGAGCGACACACTGGAGCCGTACCATTGTCTCACGTCTTTTGAGCCCTGCGAGCCACTGCTGGTTGGCCTGAAACGATGTGGTCCACGTCGATTGACGCCCCATCGTCATTAAAGCAGCTTCGTAGTTTACGGCACTCTAATGGAATTCTAACTCGATTCCAGTGACGGCCGTTGCGATACGGCGCGTGGTTTACGTTTGCACTTGCAGTCGACTGCCAAGTCGGAGGCGCAGATGTTACGGTCCTCTATTGGACACATTCACAATGGCGGTCACGGCGTTTGATATGGAGGACGAGAAGGACGAGGGCCACTTTGACGCGGACGGGAACTTCGTGTGGGACGACGAGGCCAGGAAGCAGGAAGAAGCGTGGCTCGAAGACGTGTCGGAGCAGCAGATCGGCGCCGCGAAACACGCCAAGAGCCGCCGCGAGTTTCGCGACGAGCAGACGGAAGAGACGCTAACGGTCGAGACAGCGACTCAGACGCTCGCGACGTTGTTAAGGCCCCGTGAGACGGTGTTGCAGGCGCTCAGGCGTCTCGGTACGAAGAAGAAGAAACAGACGAAGAAGAAGGAGACGGAGAAGAAGGAGACGGAGAAGAAGGAGACGGAGAAGAAGGAGACGGAGAAGGCGCGTGCTCGAGTCGGGTCCAAGCGCAAGCAGAGGAACGAGACTGAAGAGGCCGCGAGGCCGACGGCAGAAGAGAAGGCGCAGTTTGATCGGATTACAGAGGCAGCAGATTTTCTCTTGCGATCGGGAGAAGTGGACGCGTACAGTCAGGTGAAGGAGGAGTTTATCTCGGACGAGGAGCTACTGGCGCAGCGAAGACGGGTGCAGTTTGTTGATACGGACAAAAGCGAAGAGGCGAGTGAGGACGTTCGGTCCAAGCAGGAAGCGATCATGTGGGAGTACAGAGCTGCTGATGGACAGATCCACGGACCTTTCCCAACGTCTAGCTATGTGGCTTGGCGGCAGCAGGTGGGTGGATTCAAGTGCGGAAGAGTCGTTTGCTATGTTGACGTGTCTTGACGGAACGCTGAGTGTATCCCGATGCTTGGCTGCAGGGTTACTTCACTGGAGAGACTGCTGTCGACGTGCGGCAAGTACTGTGCGCTAGTGACGCTAGTGCCGTTCTGGAGCCAGCAACAAAGAAGAAGTTGAAGCAGCAAGAGGATGGAAAGGTTTCAGCTGAGCAAGAGATGCTTGACGATTTCGAGGACAGCGACAATGGAGACGACACTCCGTCTGCTGAAGATGACAAAGCAGAGGCAAACGAAAAGCCATGGATGCGATCCGACACGATCGACTTTTCCTTATACTAAGGTCGGGCAAGAGTGCTGCACAACTCAAGTGCAGCTTGATTGTGTATAGAGAGACCACGACGGTAAACAGCACTGCAGTGCAAAAGTGTGCTAGAGATCTTTCTTGGAGCATGGGTCAGTGCCAGCGCTGGACTCGTCTGTCACGTCGTGGAGACTCCGCCGCCTCGCACATTCTTGGCCGCGGTGGGAGTCCATGTTGTGGTCTTGCACACTCAAGTCCGCGTCCTCGTTCTCGCTGGATTCTGAGTCGCTAGCCATCAGCGAGCGTGTGCTGCACAGCAACAACGAGTCAATCAAAGTGAACCACTTTTGCCGCACCAGCGTGACACTGCAGTTTCGTTCCTCACCTCTTCGGGTCGCTGCTGAAAGCGCTGTCATTGCGCATCTGAAAGCGCGTGTACATGTCGTACATCTTATCCTTCATGACTACACCCACACACACATCAGTGACACACCCACACACATCAGTGACACACACGCACATCAGTGACAAGTGAGCCCAGCGCTTCGAGCGTGTGATGTCCGGCATCGAGTCAGTGTCGCTCACCTTCGCTCATGGACGTGAATGTTCCACGCATCGCCGTATACGTCTGGCTCGCGAGCTCTGTCGCTGACTTGTCAGGTGCATACGGGCGCAACGGCCACATGGGTCTGCCGTCATGAAAGTGCGACGAGAACTCGTGACTGGAGAACACCTCGTCGCGGAAGAGCTGGTCCTGCAGCATGCGGGCCAGGACGGCATCGCGTTCTTCCTGCTCGGACACGACGCGGCCCCCGTCTGTCGGCAATCGTAGAAAGTCTGCAGGCAGCTGAACGCGACGCCGCGGGTGCTTTCTCATCGAAGTTGCTGCTGCTGCTGCTGCTGGAGGCGGCGCTGGACTGCGCTCGTGATGCGATAGAGCTGCTGGTACCTGGTCGTTGGCTGGTACAGACTGTGGGGCTTGCGACTCGTCTGTACGGGGCACTGCGTCCATGGCCAGCAACGCGTGTACCGTACTATCGATGTCGCCGTCATGGGCCGCGAGCACTTGTTCGAGCGCTTTTACGTCCCACGACGGGAAGACGCCACGCAGAGTGGACAGCGCAGGACGAGAGCTCTCCGCCATGTTGGCCAACTCGAGGGTCGACGAGCCGCTGTGTTTGACTATCAATTGTTGCAGGAGTATCTGATTCGCCGACGCAGATGGATGCACTTTGACGAGTTGACAACTGTGATTGGCCGACGATCTTTGCAGCTGCAGTAGCTGTACGGGCAAAACGATGGATCTCATACTTGATCGAGCATGCCCAATGAGTAGTACCCTGGGAGCTGATACGAGCACTCCTGCTATTTCTACTCCATCGCTTGCAAATACTACGACTACTACGACTACTAGTACTAGTACTACTACTACTACTTCCTACTACTACTACTACTACTACTACTACTACTACTACTACTACTACTACTACTACTACTACTACTACTACTACTACTACTACTACTACTACTACTACTACTACTACGACGACGACGACTACTAGTACTACTACTACTACTACTACTAATACTACCACTACTAGTACTACTACTACTACTACTATTGTACTATTTCTGCTAGTACTACTATTGCTGCTACTGCTTCCAGTCGCGAGGCACATCAAAGATAATGCCAGCGACGCGCGTGTGCACGGCGCTGGTGCTCGTGTTGCTCGCGATAGGGGACTCGGTGCAGGCAGAGCCCAAATCTAAGCCCGGCGACACCTGTCGCTCGTCTGGTACGCTCAAGTTCGACCCAGAGTCGTATCCCTCGCAACGCGTACGTCGCCGAGCGCTCCTCTCGATGTCCCACGCGAGCACCACTGGTGCAAACTAGTGCCTGATATGGTGTAACGTTTGTGTGTCACAACAAAGCAGACCAACAGCATGGAAGTCTGCAGCAAGTACCGTAAGAGCACGTGCTGCAATGCTACACACGCGCACGCGCTTCGGCTGTACGTGGAGCGAGACGTGGATACCTTTGGGGGAACTGCAATGGCAGCTGAAGCTTTTTGTTTGTCGCGTGTTGCTGTATGATGTACAGGAAGATTCGAGAGCCAGTGGTGGCCAAGTTCAGCCCCAAGTGCCAAGCTCTTACGGAGGAAATGGCTTGTGCATCGTGCCATCCACTCATGGGGACAGGGAAGATGAAAAATGTATGCCCGAGGTTGTGTGGTAGCTGGTTCAATGCCTGCAAGGACGAGTACTACGCGTATGGTGGAGCCGGTACCTTATCGCCATGTTATGGCAACGCGCTGGTGTGCTCACCACTCAAGGAGATTGCTGGCTCTGGCGCCGATTTCTGCATCCAAATGGGTTTCCATGTGGGCAGCGACGACGATGCTGAAGGTATCGACTGCTTTGACGGATCGGTTCCAGAACAAGTGAGCGAACCGGAACCGACTGGATCGTGGCAAGTGCGTCTGCAGCGTCTGCTGGAAGAAGAAGCCGAAAACCCATCGGGGCTTTTCATCACTGGCGTCCTCCTCCTCCTCACGGTGATGCTGATGGGGCGCAGGATTGTGAGGCAGTTTGGCGACCCATTCGGTGGCGACCAACTCAGCCTCATGGAGGTTCGCCGCTTGCAACAGGAGCGCTACGAACGCGGCGAGCAAATGTACGATGACGAGACCGACAGCAGCAGCGACGAAGCGTCTACACCACGGCAAGCGGTAGACCCAATGGATGGCGAAGCTGAAGACAGCGCTCCAGTGGCGACATAAACGGGCCACTCGTCGAGTGCCCTGGTCCGCTAACCAGCATGTCACTATTTGTAGAGAGTCTAGACATTCGAGCCATCAAAGCTGTCGATGCCTCTGTTGGCCATTGACAATCGAGCTGCATTCGTCATCCTGTTCTGTCTGCAATCAACTTACACAAAGCAACACGCACTCGGCACCGACGCGTGCATGCATTATTCCCTCGTGCTTCCCGACACGGACTTCCTCGCGTGATTTGTACCCATTCAATTCAAGCACTGGTGACCTCCTGAACTCCCCCATCGTCAGGTTCTACTTCTGGTTCTTCAGCAGCTCCACACGCGTCTTCCACTCCTCGTACTGGCACTTCTCGTAGGCATGACGCAGGTCTTGGCATTTCCACGGGAGAAAGAACGTCTCCCGTCGGCACTCATTCAAAGGAATGAGCAGCCCGGCGCACGTGTCACGATAGTGCAGCGGCACCTTTGCGTCTGCCATTTCTTGACGCGTAGGAAGGCGAGGAGCTACAGAGTCGGTATACAAAGTGTATACCCAGTATGACAAAGACAGCATAGTCAGCAGGCACGCAAGCACGCCAAGCACGGACGTGCATTCCAGATCAAGACAAGACCAACACGACTGGCGCTGTACTTCATAGCGGACGGATACGCCAATCAGTTGGTCGCCTGTAGCCGCAACGCACCTTCGTAGTGTCCGCCGCTCATGTTTAGCTTTTGCGGTTTGCGGCTCCTGTCGATGGATCTCGACTGTGATTCGATGAAATACAGCAGACCGGTTTTCGGCCAATGATAATGCAAGCCAGCGAACCCGCGCGCCGATCGAAACGACCAGCCAATCAAAATGCGACGACGATAAACGGTCAACCAGTTAGGATGGCCATGAGCGGCACGGAGCCGGTGTCGGTGCTGCCGACGGAGTTGCTACACGACCACAAGGCCGTAGGCGCGAAGGTGCGCGTGGTGACCACTTCTCAAGAGGTCTTCGAAGGCTCTATCTTCACGCTGGACCCGATCGCCAACTTCCTTGTGCTCGGTACGCTTTGCAGTCGACATGCACTGAAGTAACGCGTTTGACTCATACGCTGCCACCTTTTTGCATTGTTTTTGTGTGCCAAAAAGCAGAGGAAAAGAACGGCGCCAAGAGCAAGACACGGATCTTGCAACTGGAAGTACTGCAGAAGGTGGAGGTGTTGAGCCCGGCTCCAGCCGGTCTGCAGCTGACGCTGCCTTGGATCAGTGAAGCAGAGCTGAAGCGTGCAGAGCATCGCAACAAAGGTGTAGCGGAGCGAGCATTGGCTTCTATTGGTCGGGGAGTGTCCGTGGAAGCGCAAATGATCTTTGACGCGCTGAACAAGACGTACGACGGTAGAGGCAGGACCGCGTTGATTACGTGGAGGCAGTATCTGACCTTGGTGTGGCGCTGTTTGCTGAAGGATGCCGTGTGAGTGGGAAGGTGCCAACATCCGAGTCATGGGTGAAGTTCTGATCACGCCGCCGTACCAAGCGCAGAACTGCGTAAGCGCGAACGCTCAGGTGCTTTCGCGGGTCAAGAAAGTGGTACGTTGGGACCGTTTGTTTATGTGTCCGTCCGCTTGTGTGTAATCGCTGCTGCTGTTGTTGTCCTGCGATATAGATGGAAGGAGAGAAGGGCAAGCTGAAAAAGGCCAAGAAGTAAGGCTGGCATCCACAGTCGCGGTGCCTTGCACCGTCGCGCTGCAGGCATTTTCTACAGTATAGCAGCTGTTGTATCGGCAATATGCAGGGATTGACCACCGCGTTGAAGGAGGGAATATGGAGCAGCTCGAGCAAGAGATCAGCAAGCAGGCTTAATGACTATAGAAAGAATGTCCTGTATATACGTGCGAATTAGCGAAAGTGGTGAGGTGGGTGGCACGAGTGGGACCAACGCGTGCGTCCTTGGCGCATGTCAAGCTCTTCGGCAATGCACGTCCGAGTCTTCAGCGGCGTAGAATAAAGACGATTGGATTGGACGCGCATTGTTTCAAGTTGTCGATACAAGGCGGTCTAGCACAGTTGAAGCTGCTTAATAGGCACATTCATCAACGCCATTGTCAGTAAAAAGAACGCAGTAGGTCTGGACTGGGGACAGTATTATCAACTCCATGCGATAAACGGAAGAAGAGCTCTCATTCCCTTGTCGATAACGTACGAGAACGAAAGGCGTAATGTGACTTGCATCTCAAGGTTTGAGAATACCGTACAATTTATAAGCGCAAAACGGACGCACGAGTGTAGCCAAAGTGTATACCGGCAGTGTGACAAGGCATCTGGTTCATATTGGGATTACTGCTTACAAGAGCAATAGCAAACGTATCGTGCTTTCGTCTGTGCATCTCAACTGGAGAGCTTCTCGCGGTAGCACTGAGCTCGGTCCATATTAGGCAACCATGGCAACCTGTCTCACAATTTGCCAGTGCAAGTAGCTTTGCACCAGACACAAGCAGGCGCGGTGGTCTTGCCTGCCACGTCATGTTACCGGCCCGAACTTCGGCTACGCACGAAAACTTGGAGTCGGAGATGCATATGCCATACGTGTGGACACTTGATGAACAAGCAACTTTTGCTCAGCAGACGCATTTCCGCTCGTTTTCAGTCGTCTCTTTACTGGGCTGAGACCACCTTCAACACGTCATCGTAATCGAGTGAAAGATTGCAGGCACCGACGACGGCCACTATTCGCGACGCCGTCCCACAACCCCAGCGCAGTGCATCACCCACGTCTCCACCGTTTGTCTTCCACGCTGAGAGAAATCCAGCGTTGAACGAGTCACCTGCCCCCGTGACGTCCACGACATCCGCCGGAAAACTTGGCTGCGTCCATTGCTGCTGAGCTTTCGAGCAGTGCGCGATGGCACCACTTGCACCAGTCTTGATGACCGTCACTCCTTTGACTCGATTTGCAAAGTATGCTAATGCCGCATCTACCGATTCCGTGTGCGAGATCTTCATCGCCTCCACTTCGTTTGGCAAAAACACGTCAATGAGCGAAAACAGCACGTCAAGATCCTCCCACTTCTCGGACGAGTCGTAGTTTGTATCCAGCGATATGGTGACGCCCTTTTCTCTTGCCTTGACTAGCAAAGGCTTTATAGTTGCTCGAAGACTGGCACAGCTATAAAATCCTACAAACAGCCACACAGGTGTCTCCATCAGCAGCTTTACCTCGATAGCTCCACCTCTTCGTACATACCTCCGATGTGCAGGTGGTCCGCCGAAAGCACCATTGTCTCGTTGATGTGCTGCACGCACCACAGAGCATCTTTTTCAGTTCACCTACCTGTTCAGTAGTAATGGTAGCAGTACAGTATGTCATGTTTTGACCCTCACCTCAATATTGAACCGACGGACCGCTCCGTAGTGCGTGATGAAACTACGGTCGTGCTGCAAAATGTGACCACTCAACACTCAGCATGAACCTCCTTCTCAGCTAACCCCACCAATCGCCACCCACCGGTCCACTGAGAACAATACAGACACCCGTGGGAATGTCCGCCAGCGTCGGGGAGCTCAGCACCACGTTGCGCTCCGCTAGGTGCGATTTCACTACGTCTGCGAACGAGTCATTGCCTACAGAGTGTATGTCCACGTAAGACCCCAATCGTGAGTCATTGCAGCCCATTATCAGCGCTAATGAGCGTTCCATGACGTACCTATCACTGTGTGCAGTGCCACGTGCAGCTCGTGGTCCGTGTTGCGGCTACTGAGGTTTGCCAAGTGCGTCGCTGTGTTCAGCGCCGAGCCCCCCGGCTGCAGTTGAATGGGTCGAGAGCACTCGACGTCGCTACCCCATTGAGGCAGCTGATCGGCTGCCAGTGCGCTCGCTACCACATCCACAAACGCGTCCCCCAGCACCGCAAACTTGACCTTCATCGGATCTGTGTTGCCGGGTGACCTCGTTACATGACATTTGCAAATGCCAATGCGAATATTATCTTAGCGGATGATATTATCAAATATCGCTGTTACACGTAATATTCAGCAACTGCGGCGAGATGGGAGGGGCAAATCCAATGCAACTGTTGGTAGGAAACCGATGGTAAGAATTCGTGTCCGGAGAATTCAGGTCACTTTCAGTAATGTTTCACCACATTCGATTTGATCAATAATTTCACTAATGGGATAGCAAACACACCACGAGATGGACATAGAGGTCTCCCTCTGCTAACTTTTAGCCTCGACTTACACCGTTCCTATAAGTGAGCAGAAGTTTAATATATTGGATCATAGTGGCCTCATGCATATACTGTGGTAAAATCGATATTTTAAGGATAAAAAGTGAAACTTCTACTGGGAATAGGTAATGTGTTGTGCAAATGCATTACAGGAGAGGATTATGCTGTATGAGCATGTTTCAGCATGAACAAGTGTGTATAACTGTGTGATGTTGAGCGATTATCCCGCGTGTACGCTTGTAGCTTAAACGGTCTGGTGTGGCAGTATTGACCGGGAGGTCACCGGTACGAGCGAAAGATGAAGTTAAGCTTTCAGGTCTTGGTGTATAGGATTCACCAGCACTGCCCCTGCCAGCAGTGACGTCCCCTACTTTTGAGACAGGGACACCAACAAAGAGATAAGAAGGACATCGCTGCTCCATCCGTTGGCTGATTATATGATCTGTAACGGGGTTGCCCGTTACATGAGATTGCCATTAAAACAATCTGACAATAATGAATATTACGTCGAATATTCTTTTAACAATATCACAAGACATGGTGACATTGTTGGGATGACCGAAGGGTATACTCATTGGTTGATATCGTGATGATATCAACCCACCAATCGCTGCTAGACGCGCGCAATGGGTGGTGAGTAGACGTCATCATACATTTAGTTGTATTGATATAATTAAGTCAGGACAATAGAGATTCAAGTAGTTATAGGACTTAATTAAATTATATTGATAATTTTACTCTTACCAAGAGACTAGTCTGACTACTTAGTCTCCTTGCATTCCTCTGTGTTTCCTTAAACACCTAGCAGGGCACTGTCGACCACTCTCGTCAGTGGAAGTATATTCCGTACTGGTCAACCGGTACGTAGTCAACAGTGCCCCGTTACATGATCAACAAAGAAGACTAGAAGCACTTACCATAGAAAAAAAATCTCAAGATGAAATAATCACTCTTTACTTTGCTGAATCGCCGTTTTGTATCTTCACCTTTTTCAATATTGCCCACAACCTCCACTAGAACCATCGACTTCTACGCCGAACCAAACAAACCCCCAAAAATTGCGACAAAAGACCTCGAAGGTCTAGAGCCCAACAGCAGGGCATCACCTTTCGGTTGTAACCCTGGGTCAGGTTGTGCCTCAAGGTAATAGACACGTAGCCACCCTGATCGTTTGCTGAAGCTACTGTATTTGTGAATATCAGGGTGTAAGTTGTTAATGCTGACCTTTGATCCCACTCACACAAATGTCTCAGGCTCGCCTTAGCAATGCTCAACGCCTGCAAATTTGCAAATACAAGGATGTTGATCGCTACATGATCTAGAACGCTTTTTCTACCTGCGCGGTATAAGAGTTCAATCTCACCAAGAGCTTGACACAGGCTCCTATCAACAACATCATCAAGAAACCTGCGGAGCTGGAGGTTATGGACTCGAGCAGCCAACGTCAAGCGTCAGCGCCTTGGTCAGCACCCATGTGTGGAGACGGCTGTGGTCTTTTGGGTGCTGCGGTGCTAGCATCGTGGAGTTAACCTCACCGGGTATCTGATGAGAAAAAGCTCGAAGGTACGCCGTATCGCTTGAAATCTCGGATGACGACATCAAGTTCTCTCACTGATGGCTTTTAAATTCCAGCAACATCATAATATTCGTGCAATACGCATCCACGGGGAAAGCGTATCGGTCGATATGAAGTCTTTGAACGAGTCTCTACCTGAGCTGAAGACGGTAATTGCCGAATATCCTCCCCGTGGTGTGTAAATATGGATAAGACTGGTAAGTTTGTACCTTCTTTGGTTAAAATTTAATAAACTTGCTGCAACAGCGTTCACAGTACTGTTTTACAGCATGACACCGGATAGGATGATCGACCGGGCAGAGGTAGAAGAACACAGAAAAGAAAAGGTAAGTAAACACTACTTATTTGCATTCATACTTGAAGTAAGAAATCATCTGCTAGCACATTTTTTCACAGACGCGCATCACCGTTGTAACGGGGTAGCTCGTTACATGAGATTGCCATTATCACAATCTGACAATAAAGAATATTACGTCGAATATTCTTTTAACAATATCACAGACATGGTGATATTGTTGGGATGACCGAAGGGCCTACTCATTGGTTGATATCGTGATGATATCAACCCACCAATCGCTGCTAGACGCGCGCAATGGGTGGTGAGTAGACGTCATCATACATTTAGTTGTATTGATATAATTAAGTCAGGACAATAGAGATTCAAGTAGTTATAGGACTTAATTAAATTATATTGATAATTTTACTCTTACCAAGAGACTAGTCTGACTACTTAGTCTCCTTGCATTCCTCTGTGTTTCCTTAAACACCTAGCAAGGCACTGTCGACCACTGTCTTCAGTGGAAGTATACTCCGTACTGGTCAACCAGTACGTATTCAACAGTGCCCCGTTACAGCCGTAGCTGTGACCGCAAATATTGATGGGTCTGACAAGCTTCATCTTTTCTTCATCGACCGGGCTAACAAATCAAGGTGTTTTAACAAGAAGACACGAAAACAGTTGGCATTTCTTCACAGACCCAACTTGAAAGCATGTACGACCGTGCAGCTATTTCAGGAATGGATTTTCGATGTTGACAAAGCTATGAAGGTATGGATGCAATCTTAAATTCCTACTAATTGTCTTATTTATCGTGCAGAGATCTGACAAGTGTCTTAGAATCAAGACAGCAATGTTTTCCTATTAATATACAATGCTTTATCCCGCATTTCGGACATCCTGCAGCGTACCAACGTCTTGGTCCAGCTTCTTCCGCCAAACAAGACCGCTAAATTCAAACTAATAGATGCCGGTATAATCGCTATCGGCGCTACCACCTTCAGAACGCTCTGAATTGCGACGAACGTGGCGAAATTGGTAATACCTACAAAGTCAAACAGCTTACAGCCATGCTATGGTCTGGTACTTGAACAGATATTTCGGCCATCACGATCAAATGATGCTTCAACTACACCGTGATATTTGCAAATACTGCCACAGTTTTCATGTCAAGTGAGGAAATCAAGGACATGGAAGAAGATCACGAGACAGAGAAAGTAGAGATTGCTCTGCAGTAGAAACTGAAAAAGATTATAAACAGCTGCCGCTACGCAATCCGGTGGCTATAGAGAAGATAATCAACCCCGCCGAAGAAGAAGACATTTTTCACCCAGAGCTCAGCAATCAATAAATTCTGGACGCGGTGCAGGATTCAGAGCAAGGAAAAGAAGAAGTTGCAGCAGAGGATAAGGTAGTTACTGTAATGGGCCACCCCGTTACATAAGTAGTCTCTATTAAGTTTACATGTTACTTAAGTAGTGTGGCTACATCCAAAGTAGCGGATATAGCAAGTCGCATATATGTAGCTGGTTTAATGGGATCAATTTATTACTAGCCAGTAATACATCGACACGTAAATTGAGTGGTTCTCATGAATCCATGAGAACTATTCGTATTTAGGATTATATAAGACAAAAATATAAACAGAGTTAAAGAATACTTAATGGCTAAAACTTGGGTTTAGGGCTTCCTAAGCATCGATAGTGTGAGCTAAGTACGGGTTGTTCTAGCCCCGTTACACCTGGTAGTACTTGGAAGTCCTTGCCATGCCAGAGTTTGGGATAAGCGATTCGTCGTACTTTGACGCTTTAGACGCGAGTATGGAGCACTCAACTTTTCCCCATCTCACTGGTAATGATTGGGATGCTTTGAATCGCCTCGTGGCGATATCTGAAGATGCATTCGCTGTGTCGCTGATGGAATTAGCGACTCCTGATGGACAGCGTCTCGCCATACACGACTTCTTGGCTCGCGAGCTCGCCGAATCCAATCGACGAGGTTTAAATGCCTCGCAGACTTCACGGAACGATGCCGTGAAGATGAAGACCTTCGTCTACTCCTGCGAAGGCAAATAGCGCTTGTCTCTGTCGCCTTGGTTCCGAGAGGATGTCATCGCTATCGATCCGAGACTTCTCGAGGCTTCTCAAGAGAAGGTCAACTTTCTCCTTTCTCGTCTTACTGGGAAACCTAAGGAGTGGGCTCTTGGTAAACTCGTTGTGGACGAGTATACGTTGCCCACTCTTGAAGCTATCCAGAGTGACCTTCAGCTCGCCTTCGAGCCGCCACAAGAGGAGAAGTTGGTGCGATAAAGGTTCCTGTCTTTGAGACATGGTAAGATGTCCATGCGCGACTACGTGTAGATGGATTGACATCTGGCGTCGTGCATTTTCACGCATCCCATGGACGTTAACACACAAGTGAACGTCTTTGTCGACGGTGTGCGTGAAGGGCAGACTCGTCTATCGCCTAAACGCGCGGACCCTGCCACATTGGAGGAGGCTTTCGCTATCACCCTCCGTGAGGACTTTTAATGACCAAGGCCTACACCAAGCCTTCAATTGTTAATGCTGTCAGATCAGTGGGTCCGGAACTTATGAGGAATGATGTGGTTGAGTCGTCGGCTAACCGACGACGTATTGCTCCCTACAAGGGCGACGTCCGTAGCGGACGTCAGATATTCTGCTTTTGGCGTCGTAAACCGGGTTACCGCGCGGCTGAACGCAGCGCACCAGCACCGTTGTCGGCGCATACAATAGACGCGCATCACGAGGGAGGTGCTCCGCTCGCACGTCCAAAAAACGGCCTAGACCAGTAGGTGCAGGGCGTCCTACTAGTTAAATGGGAG